CAACAAAACAAAAATGTAGCTTATTGGTTATATCTGGAAATCACATTTTTAAAATTAATACATAAATATTTATGAAATTAGTAAGTGAACTATCCGTAGGAATTTGAGAGTAGATTTTATCATGAAATTAGTAAGTGAACTATCCGTAGGAATTTGAGAATAGATGTCTGTGAATCAACAATATGCCAGTTTTATACAGCTTTTTTTTTCTGCAAAATTTCAAATGAACTCAAGTATCTTCCCACATTATTAGCAAAGGGTTTTTAAGCTCTTATTAATTTATATTGGAAATTGACAAGAAAAAAAAAGCTTTCACTTTTTTAAAAAAAGAGTCTTTCTGAGAATAAATGAGCGCATGTTTCCTAATTTAAGATTGAGATTTAAGGCAGTAAAATGTGGGACTCAAAACAATTGTTAAATATTGTTTCTGATTTTACCTCCGTCTAAAAGTTTCTAATTCCATGGCATTACTATATTTAAAAATAGGGTAAGTAGTGTCATTAAGTTTTTAAATTTGGTATAATTTAAAATTATTTTAGCAGGTTATAAGACCTAAAATTCTGTTATATCTTCCATAGTAGCAGGGATTTTTTGCTTTATAGCTTATTTGTAGATAATAGTACAAAATTTAGATGTATCCTGTTTGGCATATTTTCTTCTTTCTGAAAACCGTAACTGGTATAAGATTAGTGTTCTAATTTATATTTATTCAAAAGACTTCTTACAATTGAAATTTTTGAAGTAGGAAATGTCTGTCCTTGGTAATTTAACCTGTACCTGAATTTTGGTATTCTTTGTCATCAGCATGAGCTGATAACTTCATCATTATTAAGGAAAGGATTGAAATTCAGCTTTTTTTCCTCTCTCTCTTTTTTTGTGGTGCTGGGATTGAACCCAGGGCTTTGTGCATGCGAGACTCGCATTCTACCAACTGAGCTATATCCCCAACTCTGAAATTTAGCTTTTGAGTTATGAGAACTTCTTAAAAATGCCAAATTCTTTTAAATACCCGTTTCTAGGCTCTTGAGTTTTTAATTAAAGCTTTTTTTCAAAAACCACATTTTTTAACCTTTTATTCTTTTTTTGCTTATTCTATTCTTAAACCATTTCCTTCTGTTTTTCTTCATTTTTTTCCTTCAACTCTTCTGACTCCCTTTAGTATCTAGAAATGGTATTGGAACACTAATCCAAGCCATTAAGTGACCTGGCAAAGCCATATACAGATGTGGTTCATATATTTTTGCACAATTTTCCCAGTGGAAAATTGAGTGTACTTGACCTTCTGTCTTTACCTTGCTTATATAGAAACTTAAGAATTTAAAAAAACAAAAACAAAAACAAAACAAAAAACCCCACGAAACTCATTCTGATATATATTAGGGTAAGTTCAAATTCTTGGAGATAAGATATGTTTATATCTTGAATTAAAAGTTTTTAAAGAGGAAAATTCTCCCCTAAACTTTGGGAAAGGTTTCTATTCTGCTGCTTTCTCCCTGTTTTTTTTTTTTTTTGTTGTTGTTGTTGTTGTTCTCAGTGGGTTAATTCATTCAGGGCTGCTTCTCTTTCCCTTTGCTTTTAAGTAAAATCATTTGTGGCTTTTAACCACACCACTTTGGGGGATAGAATTTTGCTAACACATTAAAATCTGATCTGCCAGTAGAATCTCCTTTAAAGGCCATGTTTATAAACTGAATTCTCACCACTGAAGGAACCTGACACAAAAGAAATTGGTAAAGGACATAATTTTAAAAGAATAGCTGTTACTTCCTTAAAGAATTTAAATCAATTTACATAAATGTCTTTTATTGAAGCTACTTTGCACCAGAGCTTTCCTCAGTATATGTATTTATCTTTTTACTATGTATTTTTAAATAATTTTAAGGCACCATATATGTTTTGTTGTTTATTGAATAAGATCCCCTTCTTAACCTTTACTTCCTCATTAAATAATTTATACTTTGAAAATAAGGATTTGGTTATCTGCTTGATTCTATAATTGTGTATATTTTAGTACGACATATGAAATACAAAAGAACGAAATCCTTGCCTCCAGTGTATGTGTATTGAGGTTTTAATAATGTGATCCAGTGTATGTGTATTGAGGTTTTTAATAATGTGAAAGGTAGGCAGTTACCAGTAGATCAGCACTTGAGAACAGAGAGCTTAACCTGATTAAGGATTTTTGAAAAGGATTGTTCATGGTTTAGTTTTCCTTGTCCAGAGGTGACGTTTTATATAGTACTGTTATTTCACTGAAGTTTGCAGCTTTTGCTTCCGGGTGATTTTGACTTCCTGATATTCTAGAAGTAGAACATGTAAAATATACACATTTCAAAACACAGTTTAACAGACAATTAAAATTTAAAGGGTTAGAAAAGCAGTGAGGGGAATGACGCCATGTAATTAAACATCCAGAAAATATTTTTCTAACTGTTGCTTTGAGAAGAACTCTGTGGACATAAGATATGTTTGCATCTTGAATTAAATGTCATTCTACTATTTAGAAGTTTGTTTTAAAGAAATGTTTATAAAACATTTGGAAAATATCTTTTTTAGAGTTTATATTTTTATAAAAATAAAGTTGCAAAGGTCTTTAAAGATGTTTAATATTCTTAGAATTTCATTTTAACGTCCAAATGAACCCAGCAAGAATTTGGATGTAAACTTCTCTGATACAGAATTTGTTATAATTAGTAAGGGAAGGTTAATATATTTTTGATTCTTCCCCCCTAACTTAATTGACTTTTCTTTAAAGTTGGTAATTGGATCATCCTGTAGGCTACATTTAACATTACTCTTATATAATTGATTACTTTTATCCTCTTCCCAATTCTTCTTCTTTTCCTACCACTTAATTCTATGAACTGTTTTAAATCAAGCAAAACTCTTTCACTGCTTGTGCATATTCATTTGTTCAACAAGTAGTTGAGTTTCTACACTAGGTCAGTTTTCATGGTGGGACTGAGGATACAAACAAGATTACCTGCACCCTTGGTTTCATAGAATGTATATTCTCTATCAGGGAAAATAGATACTCACACAGGTAGTTGTAGTAAATCACAGGGTGTGATGGAGTGCACATCAAATCTAGATTAGGGTCACAGAGGACCTCCTTAACAGAGGAGACATTTACTAAGATGAGACCTCAGAGTTAGGGCACTTCAGCATGTATGAAGGCCTAGAACACTGGTGTGCACGATGTTACATTGGCAGAATTATAAATAAAACATTTATAATAAGTGATTATAAGTCAGAATTGTCTTAATAGTATTGAATAGCAGCAGACCTTCGTGTTTGTTTCTACAGTCTTTTGTGCCCCTTACTGTCGCCTATTTCATTGTGTCCTTCCTCAGTTATTCCTACATTTCTCTGCATCTTTGGTCTTTTTTCTTTTTATTGATTCTCCCTTTTTGGTATATAAATATGGTCAGCTTTCTACAGAATAGCTCCTGATCCTGTTACTCTTTATACTTCCTCCTCTATTTTCTGTCAGACATAATCATATTTGAAAAGTTTTTGTAGCCTTATCCTCCCCTTAAAAGACTAATTGCTATAGGAACTTTCCTCTTAACAAACTAGCAAAACAGTGTGAAATAACTGATTTTTAGATATTGGAGAAAATCCGGTGCAGAACAGTGATGTCCTTTTACCTTCCGAACTTGTAGTTTTTATTCTTTAAAATATACTTCCTAAGTTAGTTAAAGATGAGGGAAGCCATTTATGATGTATTTTTTATTTTTTGGTGCTTAAGGATTGAACCTATGGCCTTGAGCATGTTAGGCAAGCATACTACCAATGAGCCACATCCGCAACCCTAAAAAAGCCAGTATTTGGATAGATAAGTACTTTTTCATCAGGAATTAAGCCTTAAATAAATGAACTTGGTAAAAGATTTAATGGAGCCAGATGCAGTGCTACATACCTATAATCCCAGCTACTTGGGGGGTTGAGGCAGGAGGATCACAAGTTCAAGGCCAGCCTGGGCAATTTAGTGAGAACCCTGCCTCAAATTTGAAAATAAAAAAGGTATGGGGATATTGCTCAGTGTTAGAGCTCCCCTGGATTCAATCCCCAGTACTGAAACAAAGATTTAATGCTTGTGTGTAGGAGGAGGTTAAATAAGGGTTCTTTTTTTTGTTGTTGTTTGTTTGTTTGTTATTTTCTGGCACTGGAATTAAACCTGGGGCCTCACACATGCAGGGGAAGCACTCCACTGCTGAACTACACCCCCAAGTTCCCAACCACCCTCCTTTTAAAAATTTTAATTTGAGACAGTTTATTTAGTTGCCCAGACTGGCCTCAAACTCAAAATCCACCTGCCTCAACCTCCTGAGTAGCTGTGATTACAGGCATGTGCCACCTTACCTGGCTAGAATTTAATCTTAGACTTATAACAAAGCATTTAGTTTATACAAACATTTCTCATTTACTAATGGTAGTTTGCATTAGAGCTTTTCAAAGAATTTTCTAAGAATATATCTTTGACCTTTTAATATATTTTTCAAAACATTTTAAGGGACTCAATACATTCTTAAAGTATCTACATAATTCTGGGTGCCCAGAGTCTTGTGATTCACACATTTGGTAAAGCAGCATATGGGAGAAGGAAATGGAAATAACTAATGGGACATTAGGTCTCAGCAATGGTGCTATCTGTCAATTAGCAGTGAATCCTGGTGGTACCTTTTGATACTGTTTGGCAAGATCAATAGCAATCTTTTGGTTTATTAGTATATCGTACTACTCTCTGAAATATCAGTTGGCTTTTGGTGATTTTTGGCCTAATAAAATTCAGAGGTATAATATTTTTTAAAAATCCATTTGTAATTTAAGGCAATTACTTTAAATATTAATCCTTTATATATTTGATAATACTATGTTTAAATTGAATATAAATAGTTCTTTGACCCATGGTTTACCCAGCCAGTTTCACTTTATGTGTATCTTACAGACTTGGAACACTTCTTCATTTTCTTTCTTTCTTTTTTTTTTTTTTGTAGGCACATGAAGCAACATTGGAAGCTAGAGCCAGTCCAGAGATGAATGACCGAATTCAGCAGTTGGAGAGAGAGATTGCCAGGTACAAAGATGAATCTAGCAAGGCCCAGGCAGAAGTAGACCGCCTTTTGGAAATCTTGAAGGAAGTGGAAAATGAGAAGAATGACAAAGATAAGAAGATAGCTGAATTAGAAAGGTAAGGAGAGGGAAATTGAATGGGACTCCCTGGGTTAGAAAAAGTAAAGTATGTATTTTTGAGGGCATACTTGTTTCAGTATTGTGTGCCTCTGAGTTTAGGGTCTTGAATGCTTGTTAATATTTTATTATCTACTTATTATTCTAAATCAGTACAAATTCTTTGTTGCATTCTCTAAAAGGCAACATAGAAAGGGAGTAAACTGAGAAACTGTTGACCTTAAACAAAAGAGAAAGTATTCATTAATTGAAAAATTAAAAGTTTTCAACTGACTGATTAAGATAGAGTACAAATAACTACTTGCTTTTTATTATTTATTGTTCTAGATAATAAGCAAATGGTCCTCCTGTATAAGGAGTTAATATTGTATCATTGGTTTAGACCCTTTTGGCTGATCAGATGCTCTTTGGGGTTGTGAATTTTTGACTAGGTTGTGGAGAAGCAAATTCTTACATCAGTCAATGAAGCATGACATTTTAGGATAATTTTGGAGACGCAGATGTGATTTTTATGGGGCCTGAATTTGAATTCTTCAAAATGGGCTATTTGAACAGATCCTGCCAGATATTTCTCTTAGAATTTTGTCTTTTTTAAATTACTTTATACTGAAGACCAAGTATATGCCTGTTAATCTCTTCTTTCATACCATGTATTTAACATGAACTCACAAGTGCATTGAGACAGCTCTTCCAGTAGCAATTGATTACCTGTATTCTTCTAAACAGCCAGAAAGACTGACAGTGACAAAATGAAGTCACTAAGCTATGTGACTTCTTGAGGGCTGGTTCTTAAGAATAATTTATTTTTATGTTCTTGATGGCTGGGAAGTTTTAGATTACTTTCATAATTTATTTACTGAGTTTTAAATTTGGGGGGTGGTTATTGGTAGGCTTGTTATTTTCCTCTGAAGTTATTATTTCCTCCCTTTCTACCTATATAATTTTGATTTTCAAGAAACCAAAGCAATAAACTCCAACCCTCATAGTTTTACACTGTATGAAAATGTGAATAATATGGGCTTTTGACCTGCTGGTACGTTTTCTCTTATTTTGGTATTAACTGTATTCATTTTCTCTAGTTCTGGATAAGACAAATGGATATAAGTCTTTAAATCAAAAATTTAAAACTAAGAACTCTTGATTGTAGACTGTATGCATTTTTATTTATTTGTTTTTCTAAAAATATCGATTTTATTTATTTATTTATTTTTAAATGTGGTGCTGAGGGTCATCAAACCCCATACCTCACTCTTGCTAGGCAAGCACTCTACCACTCAGTTACAACTCTAGCCCCTGTGCATTTTTATTCACATTAATCTTTGCACTGTGTTCCTTCTCCAGCATGTGAGCATGCCCCATGTATATACACAGACACACACTCTTATATATTTACATGAATACATATCTGAATCTATACCTCCTTTTGCTTTTTTAATGGGCCTGAAATCAGCAGCAGTACTGCATAAACATTAAAATATGATACTTTTGACTGATTACTGACATCTCATTAAATGTATTTCAGAAGTTGCTTGAGAATATTTCATTTTTAAATGTGATTTTTTATATTGGAAATCTGCATTTGAAGCTGAGTGAGGTGGTCCATTGCTCATAAACTTAGCTACTTAGGAGGCTGACACAGGATTCAAATTCAAGGCCTACATTGGCAACTTGGTGAGACCCTGTCTCAAAAAGAAAAAAGACTGGGGATGTAGTCTAGGGTAGAGGAGTGCCTAATATTCATGAGTGCTGAAGTTCAATCTTCAGTACCACATTCAGAAAAGAAAAAGTGGGGCTGGGGCTATAGCTCAGTGGTAGAGTACTTAACTGGCATGGGTGAGACACTGGGTTTGAACCTCAGCACCACATAAAAAGTAAATAAATAAAGTTATTAAAAATATGTATGTTTTTTAAAAAATAAAAGAAAAAATCTACATTTTGAAAATATTGCTTGCTATTCCATGAAGCTTGCTTGAAGAATATTATTGCATTTTGGGACTTATACTGATTTTGGGAGATGGACATAATGTGAGGGAGAATAAGAAACAGAACTAAGTCTATATCTTGTATCCAAAATACACCAAATAGCTGCTTTTAATAGTGACTTTGTTTTTCACTTTGTAAGAAAGAGTTATACATGACCTGTGTAACTTTTAGTGTATTGGAAAAAGCATAGTTCTAGCCTCTCTGCTCATGCACCTGTAATTTTGTTTGAGGATTTGAGACAAAGATTTTTGCCTATCAGAAAATAAAATAAAACTTCACACCAAAAAATAACCAAACAAATGCAACATTTTCTCCAACTCAGTTTTTGCTATCAGCTTTGTAGTTTGTTACTCAGAAACAAAGTTTGAGGTATTGAATAAACAGTAGCACCACAGAATTTGTGAAAGAGATCTACTATAGCATTCCCCACCCCCCTTGCAAACCAAATTACTTATTTATTTACTTATTTATTTACTTACTTATTTATTTATTATATGGTTTTGAGGATCTAACCCAGGGCCTCGCACGTGCTAGGTGAGCGCTTTATCACTGAGCCACACTCCCAGCCCCTCTATTATGGCATTTTATGAAGAGGAAACCAGGAGCCAAAGAAATTACTCCTGAAATTAAACAGTGGTTGAGCTGGAGCTAATAGAATGGGGTTTTAAATTCCAGCTCAATTTTCTTTCTATTTCAACAAGATTAATTATGTTCTTTTTGGACTTACTGGCAACTGTAAAACACTTCCTACCTCGATGGGATTTATTTTTTGCTCATTGTTGAACCAATGTCTTAAGCAAAAGTGGCTATAGGTAGGATTATGACTTACTTAAAAACTAAGGTATATTTTAATTTTTCTTAGCTTTTGAAGGCCATTTTTTAAAGATGTGTTGACTTTTTAAAAATATTTTTATTAGTTATTGATAGACCTTTATTTATTTATTTGCTTATATTTGATGCTGAGAATTGAACCCAGTGCCTCACACATGCTAGGCAAGTGCTCTACCACTGAGCCACAACCCCAGCTTCTTGAAGTCCATTTTTTATAAACTGAACTGTGCTTGTTTGAGGAGTTATTCAGTGCATTTTATGTTAAAGACAGCTGAGATTATGTCACATGTTTGTTCCTAGATTTAGTACTGAGGTGCATGTGTGTGGCGGCTGTGTTTCTTACTAACCATTTGCTTCTTGTGTTGCCATTCCATTGTTTCCTGTGTGTATGTATGGGTGTCTGTCTCCCTGTGTTTTATCATTTTGAGTTTCTTCACCTTTCTTTTGATTTGTCTTTCCATGGTCCTGTTCCATTGGGGGTTTTTGTGTCTTTTTGTTTATATGTGTGTGTTCCCTCTACCATTGGCCATACTGTTTCTCAGAAAGCCAGTCTCCCGCAAATTGTACCCTCCACACCAGGTTTCTGTCCCTGCACCACCTGGGGGGTTTGTTTGGGACTTCCTGGGAAAGTGAGTGATATGTAAGGCTACAGTCTTATACTAGAGTAAATTGCTGCTGCTGTTCTTGCTACTGCTGGGGCTTGCTGGGGATTTTGCTTGATCAGAATTAAAGAACAGCCAGTGACACTGTATTTCTTAGTTAACCTGCTTTTGGATAAAATCAGTCTATGTTCTTTCGGGTAAGGTTCTGTACTGCTAGTTGAAATCATTTTAGTCTTTGTTTCCAGCTATCTTTTATGTGGTTGTGCTTACACTGGCTTGCCCTTTGAGTGGCTCCTTAACTGATAAAATTATTTCACCACATTTTAATTCAGCATATAGAATTCATTTCTAAAGGACATTGAGCAATCTTTTAAGTGCAAATATTAAAACAAACTATAATTATTAATAGATTAATCATTAATAGATTTTCATTAAACCAAAGAAAATTCTTAGTATTCTATGCATTTCATAGTACTTCTTATGTAAGAATTTCCAGGATGAAAAGATTTAGGTTATATCATGAAGTATTTCCACTTATATTCTTTGTGGACTAGAGAAATAAATGAATGGTCCTTTCTAATGTTGACTCCTAAAGAAAAGAGTAATTCTTGTAACAAAATGATTTAGTGTTATAGCACTCACTTGTTTTAACATTATACCAGTCTCTTGACCTATTGTAATTAAAAAATAAAATTGGACAAGTCCACCTATACAACTGCAAATACAAAATATTTTCTTCAGGTAAATGTGACTACTTCTAAATTCACATTCCTTACTGTGGTGTGAATCAGATCGAATTTAAGAGAAAAAGTACATGTAGGGCATGTATACACAGAGAAATATATACACATATTAAGAAATTTGTTATAAGGAATTATTTTGCATGGTTGTGATGGCTGATTAGGCAAGTCTGAAATCCTGTGGCAGGCTGACAGGAAGGGAAGATCCTGAGCAGGAGGGAACTTGTGTCAGCACAAGCCAAAGCTGTTGTACATGGGTAGAATTTCTTTTCACTCCTAGGGAAATCTTACCTGTTTCCAAGACCTTCTGAAGGATTCAGTTGTGCCCACTCAGATTATCTGGGATAATCTCCCCTACTTAAACTGATTAGAGGCTTTAAGTACATCAGCAAAATACTTTCACAACACATCTATCTAGATGGGTGTTTGATGGACTCACTGGGCACTGTAGCCTAGCTGTGTTAATACTTCAAGAAAGCTATCATCCAGTGGCTTTGGATAGTTTGCATAGAAAAAAAATCAAAACAGAGTTTGAGTGTCCCTATATAAATGGATAGAATTAGATTAGCCTCAGGAATGCCAAATGTAATTGAGAATTTGTCTTCTAAAATAAGCATGTTGGAGTTTCTATTTAGATTCAGAATGAATAGGCTTTTCTCTTATATAATGTTTATGATTTTTAGAGACAAGAGTAATGATAGAATTCTGTTAGTATTTTTTCAATCTTCTGAAAGAATTGTTTGTTGTCTGCTCTTTCACTCATGTTATCCCTTTTTACTAAATACTCATGTGATGGCAGTACACTGGGGACAGTGTTTCCCGTGCCATATATTGTGTTCTGTTTT